AGCAGGATAATAGTGAGTTTCTAGCCCAGGTCTCTCTCTGTCTTTCAAATGGAAAAATTGATGGGCACTTGAAAATGAATGTCCCATATATTTATGAGTCATGAAAGCTACTTATATACTACTGGCATCTAGCTTTTATTTTTTATTGCTCCAGTTTTAATTTATTTCCAATATACTTTTCCTTGAATATTTTAATAGGATAACATACTTTTAAACTAAGGAAAAGAGAAATGCATCTATATCTCACTCTGATAATAGCCTTTTATTTCTTGTGTTGAAAGTTTGGCCTGTTCTTCATCTTCATTGTAGGAATTATTCAGATAAATTCAGAAGTCACCTGGTGTTAGAATTTTGATGAATAATAATAGCGATCAAACCTAATTTTCCATCAAAGCATATAATAAAGAGTTAATAATTAAATAATTTATCACTGAGTTTTGTGCATACTTGGACATGACACAACATGTTCAATTATGCTTTCTCCTGACCCTCACATACCCTGGGTCCTCTAAGTGCTCACTGCGGCGCTCACAGCATAGTCAAAAGTACCAGCCGGTGCTTAAGCCCACAGAATCTGGAGATAGAAACACAACCTGTGCCCTTGTGGGCACTTTATCTAATAATCTTGAGCCCCAGCAGCTGAAGATACTAACAGCACTTCATAAGATGATCCGCACGTGGATCAGCACACTGAAAGGGAAGACCTGACCAGAGGCTTGCAGCCCAAGTGGGACGAGGGCAAAGGAGGAATCTGGCTCACTGTACAACTCCACTCCGGGGGGCAGGTACAATTTCTGCTGTGATCAGCTGTGGACATCAGGCTCCAGGTACTTCAAAATGTATGTTACTTTTTATGATTGTGCTTGATCCACTCACTGACTTGTACTGGAGTTTTGCTTTGGAGACTTGGCACCATGGCTTCATTTACTGTTGCAGTAGAGATGAAGTGAATCGCTTTGGACCTACAAACACCAACTTTCAGAGCTCCCTGAACATGTCCTTCAGCGAGTTAGGTTTTGCTCCTCCCTCTTGCTCTTTCCACAGACTCGGGGTACATAATGATATTCATGACTCCAGCGCTGTCATGTCCAGGTGCGGTGGCTACTAACCAGCAGAGATGCCATTTTATAATAAAATATTCCAATATTTTATTCCTTCCATGTTCTAGTAGCTGACCTCCATCTTCCTAGGCCACTTAAGACTCCTCCACTGAACTCTTCCAGTTATAGGTGTTCAAAGGCTAGAAACCCATCAGAGTTCCTTAATCCATGAGGACAGAAATAATTCATATTATTTCTCCAATAACTTCATAGGTGAGATTGTTTTAAAGAAAACACTAAGAAATTATTTTCAAAATCTACTAGTTCAGAATCAATAAGGAAATTTTGAAGATATAGGTTAGAAATAGATACATAGGAAGAACAAGTCTAGATGTTGAACATAAAATATAAGAAGGATATGTGTTAGCTGATTTATGCCAATGATTGAGTGCTTTTTAAATTTTTTAATGAAATCCATAAGTGTTATTTGGAAAAATTCAATATCACAATAATTCATGTATATGATTTTTATTTTTTATGTATTTAGTACAGAGACTATAGGGCCTCCCTACACAGATCAGACTCATAGTGTTTAGCCTCCCAAGTGCTGGGATCACAGGCCCATGCCACCATACCCAGTCTCAATCACTGTCTTTTTAATCCACTGAGCTATCTGATAACAAGAATTTGAAGATGAGACTTTTCATTATGTTCCATTGGTATGGCTGTACCAACTTACTCTATTTATTTATTTATTTATTTATTTATTTATTTATTTATTTGGTACAGGATCTCACTACACAGCTCAGACTCATAGTGATCCTCCTATTTTCAGCCTCCCCAGCACTGGGATTACAGGCATGCGCCACCACTCCTGGTAGTCTCAGTGGCCAGCTCAGTGCACCCAGGGGTAGGGCCTGCATGGCATGTGGTTCTTAAACCCTGGCCCCAGAGCTTGCCTTGGCAGGCCCTTATTCCACTGAGCTATCTTGCCAGCCTGGTATGGCTGTTACAAAGCCAGATAACTAGGCATTAAATGGTTAAGAGTTGCTGTATTGGAGATTCACGCTGAATGAGCGTATTTTGGACATTCTTGCCTCTGACACTACCACAACAAAAGGGACAACAGTGTGAGATGACATCTTGGTAACAATTTTATCATCTCTATGTATTCCTGTAAAATCATAGGATCATACTGTGTGTCTTAAATAGGACCATACTGTGTATTTTTACTGTGCATAATTTTTACTCTGTATATTTTAAATACACAGAGTAAAAATTATTTTCAAATAAGGTACCACAGTGAACAAAGACATTTTAACTATAACTATAGTAATTTGAAAAGCATTGAAACTTAAAAAATAAAGTTTTTAGAATTTATCTCCTACTAACATCAAATTAAAACGTAAGACATCATGACAAGTGTTTTTCTTTCATGCCAAATTCATGGATTATGCTTGCTTCTAAGCCATAAATTACTTACAGTCCTCCTAGATTGTGAAAAACTGTTCTTTTAGGTAATTCTTTCAAATGTAGGCATGAACTCTAAAAAGAATGCATGGCTTGCAAACTTCACTTTAAAAAGATCCCCCAAGTTTCAAGGGCTGTGAGATTTATTAGTAAGCAAAAGTTGTCTACTCAGTAGAAAACGTAAGGGGAAAGTTGAGGCAACACTGGACCAGAGGAGCAGAAATAACCCTCACTGCTGTAGCAAGCTGTAAATGATGTATGAAATGACAAATCCCTGCCCAATTCAGGGGAAGAATAGAAATACAGTTCTGTAATCAATGCAGTGATGTGCTATTTGCTAAAATTTTCTGCTTATTGAACCCAGAAAAACTTAACTTTACCCATAAATCCAAACAAGAAATGACACAAAATGAAAATATATTATTTAATTGTATGCAAAAATCTCCTGATTATTCCCTAGTCCTAAAGACATACTTGTATTACAGTATGTAACTGTTAAGGAATTTGTCGAACAACAAAACCATTAAATGTTAAAAAAATACCAATGTACATACATTAGTGTATCAGGGCTGGAGCCTTTTGTTTTCTTTGGATCTTGACTCTAGCTATTAGATTGTGCATTTTTATAACTTCTCTAAGCTTTATTTTTTAAATTTTTTTCTCTTCTTATTTTTTATTTTTTCCCATATTTTTATTGATAAACAAAGAGCAATGAGACAGTTTCAAATCAAATCGATAGGACAGTTTCAATAATTAACACATTGCATGCATTCTTCTTAGTGGTTAATTGCTGTACAAGATGCGGACATGATATTCTAACACCATTAGAACAAATCACTCTATTCATTAAGAGAATGTAACTATATATCTATCCTAACCACTTTGAATACACAGATACAAAATGGACATTCATCTGTATCCCCTTTTTTGGTTAAGCTCCATTATTTGAATATTATAGGTGTGAAAACTCAGCAAAATATTCTAAAAGAGTCCAGTAGCCCATAATAGTATTGGGTCTTCCGCTTCACTGGCAATGTCAGAAATTGTTGACCTGAGTCCCCTACAGCTCAACATAACAGCATGGCTTTACTTCTTACATTTCATTTTTATACTTTTCTGCTGGATGGTTAAGACCAAGGTAAAGCAGGACCTATGCAACAAGAGTTGTAGCTTTAATCTTTCTCTTTTTACACTCACTTGACTTTTATATATTAGCTAATTTTAATAAAAGTACATATTTTCTTTTATGAGAAAATATATGATAATGTACAATTTATTTTAGCATATTAAATGAGTGAAAATAATGTTATAAATTAAGATATCTGAGTTAAAAATTATAGAATAAGTACTATCCAGTTATCTCCAAATATGTTCTTTAGTAATAAAGAACCACACTGTAGATTTATTTTGGAATTATAATATGAGAGTTCACTTCAGTCATTTTCTTCAACTATGTATTTATTAAAAATGTCTCATATTAGGGCTAGTCAAATAGCTCTGCGGATTAAAGTGCCTGCTCAGGCAGACACAGGGGCCAGGCGTTCAATCCCTGGGTCTGCTGTGCCAGTCCCGCCCCCAGGGCATGCTGAGCTGAGATTGAGACGGGTGTGGTGGTGCGCGCCTGTAATTCCAGCAGTTGAGAGGCTGTAAACAGGAGGATCACTACAAGTCTGATCTACGCAGTGAGAGCCTCAGGCCACACAGACCCTGTCCCAAAAAATACAATAAATAAATAAATATCTCATGTTAAATTACAAGATGTCAAAATACACAGGTGAAGAAGTACATTGGTATTAGACTCCAATATACCTGATTTCATGCTTAAAATCAAGCTTCAATGTATCCTTTTCTGCTTTTTTATGTTCTATGTTTTACATCTGCCCTAAGCAGCTATGAAGGATGATACTCAGTATCTCCTTCATACCAGGTAATCTTTCCTTTCTTAGATACAGGTGAAAGCCACCGCTGGGTAAATTCAACCCTAAGTTCCACAATTTTCAAAGACTAAATTTGTGCAAACTTTTAGGCTCTTTTCCCTGTAAATCATTGTGTATAAAGAACATGAAGCACTAATGTGAATCCATGGCAGAATTATGCTTTCAAATGAAGTGACTTTCCGACTCAAATAGCTTTATGTGCACAATAATTAAACCATAACAAAAGGAAAATAAAATATTCTTTAAAACCAAGTTTAATTCAGTTACTAAGACCATAAACCAAAATAAGCGACAGATGCCAAGAAAAACAGAAAATGCACACCAGGATAGGTTTCATTTCCTATTAGGAAAACAAAATAAATAACGCTAGGTAGCACTGGAAAGGAGAAAGCAACCCGTTCATTTTAATCCTGTGGCAATACTTTGAAGCTCACTTTTAATCCAGGCTCTTTCACATCTCCAGATGGTATGAAAGGCAGTGTATGCAGAAAGTAGCACGAATGGGGATGGAAGCATTTCATTTTCCCCACTAGAGTGATGATTCGGATCTTACCTTTTCTGAAAGCATCTTTAAAGAATTCTTCAAGCTGTCTGGGGAGTGCTGGCTTGCAGAATTAAGCAGTAGGTCTGCATGTGTTGCTATAAGAGGCTGTAGTTGATTGATGTTGCTGAGAACTTCTTTTGCTTTAGCTGTGTTTTCAGGTGAATAGTAAATAAACTGGTATCCAGTACTGAAACAACACAGATAACAGCATGTTACACAAAAAGCAGGAAGATCAGTGGAATAAGCACTTCCCTGGCAAGCACAAGGGCCTAAATTCAATCCCTGGTTCTGCAAATAAATAAATAAATAAATAAGGAAGAATTTGCAGCTCTTAGCATCAGATGGTCACTGATAAATAGAACTCCAAATGCCATTAATTCCAATTGAACAGATAAGAACTGTCATAAGGAAGTTTCACAATGTCTCAACAGTGAGCTAAACTGATCTGGGTACTTTTTAATGCCAGGTACAATAATTTCAGTCTTGGGAGTTGGGGGATTTAGCCCAGCGGTAGATCACTTGCCTAGCAAAAAACAAAGAAATAAAGAACAAGAATGATCAAAAATGTCCAGTCTTTGCTCAACCACTTTGTAGATTTTGTATTGTCATACATAGCAAATATTAGTATTCAAAAGTATTATTAATATTTTTATGTATATGAGTTTGCATAGTACAAAAAGGAAAGTATAAGCCTTTATATTCCAGGAAATCTCAATATAATGTCTGGCCTGCTACTCACTAGCTGTTTGACCTTGGGAATAATTACCCAAATAACTCCAAGACCTGTGGAAGATTAGAGAGCATTCCTCGAAGTGCCTCAAATAGACCTGGTACAGAATAGGTATTCAATAACTGCTACCTGTATTTTCACCCCCAAAATCAAGCAAGAGGGAGAAAAAGTGAATATTAATAGTTGAGAAATGGGGAGAAAATAAATTAAAACCAAGTAGCCAAATGGCTACTTCTATTGAATATAAAGAAAACATTTATAGCATTAATGGCTCATTATGTTATCTTATCAGCATGCTTTGTGTCCCCTATGGTTTCCCATCTGTCCTGTAAATACATTTAAAATTGATTATTAATCAAAGAACATTTGATTGTCATAATGATTATAGAGAATGATCAGGAATGCTATGGGAGTTGGGATTCTGGGAAGCAAAGGGATCCTTGGCCAGTTTCATTAGGAGAGACAGATGGAGAATCCTGGTAGGTCCTTTAATGAAAGGAACGAGAGGAGGAAACAGTCCAGGAAGGTGAAGCAGGGGAGACTTTGGTGCATTCCCTTGCGTGGTGCGAGAACATCCTTCTACACCTGTCAGAGTGTCTCTTCCAGAAGCCTTGCAGCCTAGCCAAGGCACAAACCTAGCAGGTGCTGAGGATTTGCTAAATATTACTGAAGATGTCCCCTGCAGTTGCCAGCTCAAATATTTAAATTCCCACAATGCCACTTTTCATTTTGAATAATTAGTAATCAATAAAATGATTGTATCTGAGATTCATTCTCTCTCCTGCTTTTAGGAGAAATCAAGATCTTTAAGCAGATGATATTCCACTGCAAACATATGACAGATAGTTCTCATATTTTACCAGATTTTTAAAAAAATGATTAAAATGAATGTCCTTGGATGCTTGAACTATTCAAAAGAAAAGGAAAGGAAGGGCTGGCCAGATGGCTCAGTGGATTAAAGCGCATGCTTAGGCAGATGCAGGGACTGGGGGTTCAATCCCTGGTATGCCTTGCTGGCCCCATCCCTGGGGTGCACTGAGAGGATGACTGAGACTGGGCAAGGTGATGCGCACCTGTAATGCCAGCACTTGGAAGGCTGAAAACAGGAGGGTCACTACAAATCTAATCTGTGTAGTGAGAGACCTTGTAGACCCTGTATTAAAATACATTAAAATAGGGGCCGGGGAGATGGTTCAGTAGAATAAGCACTTCCTTGGCAAGCACAAGGGTCTGAGTTCAATCCCTGGTTCCACCAAAAAATAAAAAATTAATAAATAAAATACATTAAAATTTAAAAAAGGAAAGAAGCCTAGGAAATCAATGGCTGGGTTCTCTTGCTCATAAAGATTCGCCTTCAATTCTTACTTGTAGATTTTTAAACATCTGAAGAATTTAAAATGTACCATAACTATTCATTCTATGTTTTAATGCAGATAAAAGAAAATGACAAACAACAGTTGAGAAGGGAAGAGAAAAAGGATAATCCCTCTGTATGACTCATCTCTTTCTACTTCTTTGTTGGGACTGAAGCCTAAAGAATAAAAATCATGTTCTATCCCTTAGTACCCAGACTACAAAAAGTTCAACCTACTATGGTCTTTCATAAATCAAAGAACTTAATTTTATTTTTCAAAATAATTATCTGAACGTATTATTGTGCCCCTGGGTGAGGTGAGGTGACATTTGGTATACTGGGCAGAGAAGAGCTCTCTCTAGCTATAGACCTAACACAGAAAGTCACCTGACTAGCTGCCCCACAGCCCTCCTTCCTGGCCTACTCAGGTGTCCCTCGCTTGCTTCCCGGTGCACTCTTATGGGTACTCTCAGGTTCCCAACTGTTTTGTCCTCAGAAAGCAAGCGTGCTCCAGTTCCTGTGGCTGCCAACTTTCTGGTCACCTGACTCCACATTTTGAGTATGTCACTTCTGGTCTCTCATCACTGGCTCCTACTCATACTTTTTGACACTTGCCTCTACTGGTTCTTTATTTCTCTGGTTGTTTCCTAGCAATTCAGGGTTCTTTCATTCATGAAATGAATGAAAAGATAATGCTATCTATCTTTATTGCCTGTGTTGCATACGCCTTACTCAGCAGATTCTCTTAGGATCTGTGATGGATTGACAACCAGTGCTTAGCTTGTAACACCCAGCTGAAATGAATCAACCTGGTTTGGGTATGGGAGACCCACCTGAGGACTGTTGCCAACAACATTAAAAAAGGAGAACTGGAAGGGAAATGAGGGGTGTTAGTTCTCCTATGGAGGTGCTGTTGGTTTTCTTTTAGGACCCTGTCAGGCTGTCTTTCCTGATATGAACTCGGCTGTGCTCATTGTCAGGGGAGCTCTGGACCTTGTGTCACTGAGAATGGCTATAGTTCCCGTTGGGAGAGCTCTGGTCCTTACTTTAAACATCTTTTCCTAGCTCTGGAGGGGAAGATGATGTGCTGTTCAGTCTCCTGGAGAAGCTTGTTGTGCTGGCTTTCCTGATGGGAACTCGGCTTTTCTCATCATTGATGGAGCTCAGAAGATCATCAGCACTGAGGATGGCTATGGTATCTTTTGGGGAGCTCTGATTCTTGCTTTGAGCATTATTTCCTGGTTCCAGTGCAGATCCCTCAGCCTCCTAGCACAGATCTTTCTTCCCGCTGGCACAGACTTCCTAGTTCCCACCACTGACCTATGGGCCTGCAAAGCACAGATCTATGAAACCCGCCTGCATGACACAATGTCGTGTGTTCCAGGCTTCTAGTGGGACTCGTGCAGAGCATTGCTCTGAGCTCTAGGTCTTCAGCTGGACTCATGTAGGACATTTACATGGGATCCAGCCCCTTAGCATGATTCTTTGGGATGGGGACAGATTTCCTGCACTCTTTGTATTTGCCTCTTTGGGTGAATACTATAAAATAATCCTACACATTATGTGTCCTATATTGTTTCCCTTGCAAACCCTGACTTTAACAGCACCTCCCATGCATGTAATTGTACAGCATGTATTCCGAAGGATTTTTTCTCATACGTTCTTTTCTTATGTCCAGACTGGTGGTCCTCAAATATGAACAGGTGCTAACGTCACTCAGGAATGAGGACAGGGCTTGCATGAAAATCGTGATAGCTTGACAATGCCCAGAGATTCTGCGTCCGTCAGCTGTCGCATCCACCGTGAGTCATCAGAAGGTCCTGATGCACCTAAGCTGGGACCCAGCCTTAGAGACAGCTGCTGCTCCCCCCTCTGAAATTGGTGACATCCTCTCATCCCTGGACTGTGCCACACAAAGACTCTGACAAAAGACGCTACACTGATTTTATTACTGTATTTCAGAAAAGCTACTACACAAGTTACTGTGGCTCAGTTTTCTCCTAACGCGGCCCACCAGGCTTTGTTCATTTCTATCCCAATGGACTCCCTCCCCCCAAACACTCATGGGACATAAGTCATTTCGAGCTGTTATTTATCAGGCGTTGTTTTCGTGGGTGATGCCTTCTAATGATGAGCACCATACCTCGTGAGAATTAAAGATTCATTTTCTACAATTAAAGTCAACGTTGGTGTCCAGAAAGAAATAGGACAGCATGGAAGAAAATATTGCCACCTATAAAATAATTTTAAGTACACATAAATTCCAGGTACCTGTTCAGTGCCTTACTTTTTAAACGTATCATATATTTTAACAGTAATAGCTTCCTAAATAGCTAGTCATGAGTGTAATTTAATTATCTAGATAAAAAGAATATAATTAAACCCTGTTTTTAATGGTCTGAAATTTAAACTCAATCCAAACACTTAAATCAACAGTCAGTCAGATATAACCAGAGAAAGTATTTCATTGGCTAAAATGTATTTTGTAAGATACAAATGAATACAGAATTATGAATAATTTACAAATTGAAATTCAATTTATTTTCTATTGATTAAACACTGAAGTACAAGCTTATATTTTAATTTCTAATATATACTTATTTAAATATGTTAAGTTTGATATCAACTTTAGCACACACAACACACCCATATTTTTGTGTATGTGTACTGAAACTGAGGGCATTTTGTTCTGAAAGTGTAAGTTTGACAAAGCATGTAGTGAAATAATATAGTTCATCAACTATTGCTGACTAAAATAGGAGTAAAACAAGAACCCTTGCATTCCTGAGCAGGGAGTCTTCCTCAGTCCCTTCTTCTGGTCCTCTCAGTTGTCACTCCCGAGTGCTGGCAGCCCCGGCACCCTGCCTTTGGAATGCTTGCCTGTCTCCCCACACATTCCTCCTCAGCAACCCATAGCACTGGGACTCTTTAGGGCTTGAGGGACACAGGCAAGGAGAGAGAATAAAGTGGCTCTTGCTGAGTTCCCCCACCACATACTGGGCCTTACTTGCCTCTCTCCCCATACAATGGTTCCTTCTTTCCTTAAACTATTTGCTAAACCGAGCTTCAGTTCTGGGCAGTGTAGTTATGGAAAAAATATAGA